GAACTCGATTTCCCGTATGTCGGCTCGGCCCTCATTTTGAGTCCCATGATCGGCTAGAAATGCCGTGATGCTCCTGGCTGGTCTTGTTGGCGGCTTTTGGTTTATAACTTTCTGCGTATTCGTACGCATAGTCTTCACCAAGCTTAACACAATCACTCCGCAGAATGTCCTGAAACAGATTGAGGGACGATAGCGCCGCGTAGCTTAGCGTTCTGTCTCCGAGGTACGACCCAATGCTTGCCGACATGCTTTCCGAGCATACCGTGGTATTATCTCAGAAACGGTGCGCAGCGCTTCGGGGCTGGCATCATTCAAAATAGTACAGGTTGCTCGTTAGAACGATCGTGTTATGCTTGCTGACGACTGTACTCGGCTGGTAGCGAAGTTGCCGGCTAAAAGTCGACGATGATAACTTCACTGTCGGTTTGGAGCAGGGCTGAGCCAGGCCGCCTTTTCGGCTTGGTATACGCAAAATACAGCAAACCCACCGCAACACTTCACTAGCAAAGCACGTCGTAGTGCGACCGGCGTATTCAACATTTCTAGCCTCTCTGTTTATCAGTTTCCTTCAGAGACAAGTTTTCATGGCTGAGCCACAGCGTATGTAACCAATAGTGTGGTTCGGTTAGATTTTCATGCATGTAAGAGCATCATGAACTAAATTTCAGCACACATTTTTTCTTGCTAAAGGAAAACAGTTCCAATTGTGAGCACCTCGTTTTGTGGCTGTGCTATATTTCGCTCACAGCGTTATGTCCAAGCTTGCGGGATCACCCTCTAAAAGTAAATGTCGAAAGGGATGGCGTAGCACGTTTCCTTATCGATTTTAATCGATGGCGAGGTGATTGAAGATGGGCACTTTCCAGCGCTGGTACGAGTACCCGCGAAAGAAAAACATCAGCGATCAGCCTTGGTTTCTTTATAAACGACTTTATTCCGGTTGAAGCGTCACCAAAAATGTCACGTAAACGTCACATCGCTACACTTTTGGCTGATAACACTCTGTTAAATAAATAAAGCGTGCTATTGGTACACGACAAAAGCCGGTATATTGCCCACGCGTCCCAGCGCACGACGAGACATGACCCGAAATTCGACGACACGTAATGCCCTTCAGGCCCTGAAGATGCCGCCCGTTAGAAATAGAACCCATAAAATTCGCGTTTTTTACACTTTGACAGCTAACACGAGACCGCGCAAGGTATACAGCGGATGATGGCAGTAAATAGACGTTGGTTGCGCGATACTTGTAAAAAAAAAACAGAAAAAAACTACTTCCATCATCATGTGCTTGCAAAAGATTGTACACCAATGTCAAAGACAATGCTTTTCAAATATGCATTTCTATTGTACTTGAAGGCTGCCATGAACGTCACTAGAAGCCTGGAGGTAAGGTTAAGGTAAGGTAAGGTTAACACCATTTTCTCTTCTATGCCCAACTATCAAGACACAGGTTCTTTGTTACGATTACTGCCAAATTGCACGAGAAAAGGCGTATACTATGATGTGCCTGTATGCATAAAACTTCGTAGATGTTTGAAGAAAAAAAAACATGTATAAGTTCATTAGAAGTTAGTTGGTTTACTAAACAGTTGATTACCATATTTTGAACCGATTTTTCATTTAAAGGGCGTATTTGTTCAGTGTTTGTACCCTTCTTCAAGTGTACGGGTAGATATTAAAAGAATTTCTTTATTACATGTACTACTATGCCTTTAATGTGACGGCCTTTACGGAATCGAACTGACATCTTGCCTTTAGTAATCGTGTGTGTGCGACAAAAACACGCAGGATTACAAACAGTTGTCATTCATTTTTTATACAGGTCTTTTGATCGCTCATCTATTGGACTGAAATTTTAATCAGAACTTTCTCGACCTCCACACAAATCAAGTTGCTATATATAGGTCTTTTGGCGTTATGCTGCACACTTACGCAGTATTCTGTTGAGGCAGTCGCAATTAAGTCACGGCTTGTTGGTCCGTTGATCTGCGTCATCCCGTAACCACTACATGCCATACCACACTACTATAACTATAGCTGGCTGGGCACTCCTGGAAGCTGACAGGAGTGAAAAGCTAGAACAAGTGTTAAAGCAACATCTACGCTTTTTCTATAAGTGCCCAAAAAAGGCTGAGCGAATGTATACTGGCAGTTCTGGTGCACAGGGGCCTTCCTACGTGTTCACTCGAATCTTTCACCTTTAGGAAAATCGAAAAGTTGCTCCAACAACGAAGATCCCAATTGGTTCTGCATTCGTAATGAACAGACTGGAAAGAAGTGATACCAGTCACTCAGGAAGCGTTGGCGTTCAGTTAATATTGTCGTAGCTTTTTCCAGTTTGCCTTTTAGCTATTGTTCATGGTAAAATTTTCTTATCTGATGGGTCTCAGCCTCAGCCTTCTGACAGGAACGACGTAATATTTTTTTTAATTGCGTCTGATGTTTGCTGTAATTCATTAGGATAATTATATTGGCGTTAATTAGCGAGAATCTAAGTGCTGAATCGTGTGTCCAGGTATTGAAGGACCGCAAAATAATTTTGCACATTTATTCCGAGGTTTAAAAAAGAAACACAGTGGTCCTCGTAGCTATTCACAATAAATCATCGAATTCATTCGTAGCGAAATGCACGACCTAGTTCCGAAGCAACCAAATGTAGCAAGTATTACACACCGTTCGCGCATGAGTGAAAAGGTATGCAAGTACAAAAACTGAACATTTAGAGATCGTGTGCGATGTTACTCAACGGCAGCCCATAAAATGCTTATATCAATTTTGCGGGGAACATATAAGCTATTTTTATCTCCATACTGCCGAATAAAACAGAATGTTATTGGTTGTGAATTTGTCCGAGGGAAACTATGGTTATGTACAAAATTAAGACAAACACGCTGAGGAAACAGGGAATTGGAAACTGGTTGATTGCTTGGCCTTAAGTGCTTGCTTAAGTGCTCTGTTCAACCAGACTGCTCCTAGAGACTTCAAGACGCAGCAGTCACAGGCTCTAATGCAAATTTATCATATGTACAGTCGCGCTCAATATGAGTTACAACCCACCGGCTGCAGTTAAAGTTACCCCAAGCCTGAACAGTTACACCGACAAACGTTAAATTGGTTCAGAAAGCTCAGCCAACTGAGGGAATTCAATTCACTCTTTTTTTTCTCTCTACATGTCGATTTGAAGTGTTGGCGCCATTTTGAGCCCAGACAGCGTGTTGCAACTAATATTGAGCTGGACTGTACGTGCCGGCGGAACTTTCCTCTGCTGCGGTACTCTCTTTGTCATGGGCGTGGAATTTGTTTGCTTCTTTTTTTTTTTGGTCAGACACTAAATTCAATCTACAGTTTCCCTCGCCAAACATCTCCGCTCTTCATGCAACTGTAATGTTTTCTAAAATTAATCTGCATTTTGCCAAAAGTAAACCTGCCTTTCTATTCGTTTTCAAGGTTGGTCTGTGGTTTACAATTGTTACCCAAATGTTCAAAGAAATGCCCGTCAGTAAGTATTTATCACTAAAATTCGGTTCTAAAACACATTCTTCGCATGCGTTTCATTAATTTATGGATTGTTGATTCAGCACGCGCTAATGTGTCTATCAACCGTTGGGTGCGACAATGTATAAAAAGTACGCATTACTCGATGGACGGGGTTCATGTAGGCTACGATTCCAGGTGTGTTTCAGTTTTCTTCTTCAATAAGTCAAATGTATGTTTCCTTCTCAGACATTTCCGTGATGTATATAATCAAGTGCAACTAACTTGGAGACGTTGAAGCGATTAGGAAGTGAAGGCACCCATGTTATTCTAAATGGTGTGATGGGGGAGAATAAAACACAGCTGCATCATAATTTCTCGATGAAAAACAAAATTTTTTACGAATCAGGAAACATTAATTTTATATTTAAAATGATAATATGTGTTTGAGCTCACGTGCAGTACGATGGCGATGATGTGTTACACTGTTTTTTAAGGATTATTACACTCGGGCAGCGTGCCCTTAGCCACTGAAGGTTTGGTACGTTAAATCCTACAAATTATCATCACTCATTGTAAGGATAGCGCGCATCTGGAACTTTGCGTGCTTATGAGCTGGCAATGGGGCAGAGAAATTTTATATTCAAACTGTCACCGTGTTTTTAGGAACTCCAGTGTGAATTACGCACGCGTTAATGCTTGACTCGAGGTAAGCGCTTCACGTTGCAAACCTACTAGCCGGGCACACGCTGCTACAAAATGTGGTTCAAAAAACAAGGCACTGAAAACGCGTTTGAACTTGTACTTTTTTGGGTACGCAGAGATAGAAGTTTGAGAAAAAAAAAAGAAATTTCAAAGCGTAGCCATCGCGTTTAGCTGCCATTAGTGCTTACGGAAATTTAGGAGTGGCTAAAGATAGTTTAAACGTAAGTCTGTTTTTTAGGACAGCTAAAATTACGCAGTAAACAGGGGTCTACAGATTCCTACTGTGTCTTAAAAGTAACCTACCTTTGACGTTTATGTGAAGCAAGCGTTTTTTTTTTTTTTCACAACCCGAACGTAAAAGAGTTAGGAAGTAAAAAGAAGAGCTTTGTACGCGACGCTACCTTACGTGAATTGCGAAGTGACAAACTAATATCGGCCTCGTAAGCGACTAAGAAATGTCCACCTGTGGGTTCGACTTTTCACTCCTTATTCCTGATTCTTGTGATTCTTCGTAGTAACGAATGTTTTACACTTGTTTCCACGCACATGTAAATAAAAAAGCATGTTTTTTCGTTATTATTTTTTTCGTGCTATAAAACTTCCAGCTCCCAAAGTTTCTGTCTTTTTATGGCACCTCTTTTTACATATGACTAACCACAGCGAGGAGTTACGAAGTATGGCACTAACTTCCCGCGAAAGATCGTTCGCGATAAGCAGGTTGGTAACGAGCATTCGTCGCCTTTTACAGGAAGGATATACGCGGAATCAAAAGACATATCGCACGAATGAATAAGAAGGGATAAAAATAAGAGATAAAGGCTTGTTCCGGCGCTCATTTCGGTACTGATTATTTCTTCGTGTCATAGTATCATTTGTACCACGTGCCATTCTTTAAACTACGCACCAGCTAGGCCAGCAGAGCACTCCACACTTCCCTATCTCATTTCGTGCACTCTCACTTGGACTTTTGTTCTCGCGGCATCACATGCGTTGGTGATGTGTATGAACACCAAATGGAGGAAATTTAAAGAATGAAAAACGCCCGCCTATGTTTGCGTATTATGGTGGTTGTTCGGGATCGTGGGCTACAAGGGTTGCACGCAATAGCGTTGTTTTATGTTACTTTGACATTCTCCAGCGATAGTACTTTTGGGATGGATTCAACCGAAGGAAAGTGAATAAAAAGATGGCGCGCTTTCAAGTCTTCTGGCGTAGATGGCCAGCGACATCAGCACACTCGATCAAGGTGTCACGTTATAAAAAAAAACTACAACAACGACAACACGACCTTGTCAACGCTTCAACACTTCGCGTTAGCTTTTACACATCACAAAATGCTCTAGAAAACATGGCCACCTTATTGCAGATTTGAAAGGCGCGTGTCAAACACGCCAAAAATCCAAAGTCGTGTACGTGCAGATCATGTGCAGCACCCAGCAAGCGGCAACCTATCCATCGTCTCTCGACGGGAATAAACACTGCGGCTAACAAGGTGCCGAAAAGGAGAAAAAAATACCAGCACACAAACTCGAGTCTTTTGCACAGCACTCTAATGACAAGGTCGACGTCTCGGTCATGATGTACAGTACGTCTGTCCAAACTCAAGACCTCGCTCGTGGCAGTCTTCTGCTGCACTCTCGTATAAACTATCTGGCTGAGCGGAACTTCCAGCGAAGTCGTCACCGCACGTCTCGACTCTCGTTTCCCAGCGCGGCCGATTCACGAACGGGAGCGTTAGAGCGAGGTGGTGACTTCTTCGATGACGTCCACGGAGGGCCTCTGCAGCCTCCTGGGTGACGACCTGCGCGCAGGTTCTCCGTTCACCTGCACAGGCATGAGTCGCATGCAGCTAGGACACTGGTCGTACTTGTACGGCAGGAGGATCGAGGCGCGACGCGCTCCCCGCATGCGTTTTCCCAGGGTCTCCTGGCTCTTATTGAGGTTGTTCTCGTACTCACTGAGCCTGAGGTACTTCTCCTCCTTGTTGCATGACGTGATGCAATCGTCGATCAGGTCCTCCAGGTAGTTGTCCATCATGGCCTCCTCGGAGATGCAGGTCAACTCCTGGCGCCGCAGGTCGGCGTAGTTGCTGAAGGTGAAGCTGCGCTGCTGCAGCCTCGTCTCGCGACCCAACGAGTCCTGGAAGGAGGAACGGCGCGAGGACGAGGCACCCGCGCCGCCGTCGGCTCCGGAGGTCGTGGGTGCGTCCGAACAGCGGCGGCAGTCGGGCCGCTGCTGGCTGCGCCTGGAGCGCTTCTTGTGCAAATCTATGAGGAAGAGTGACATGGCTCCCAGGAAGGAGCACGCCGAGGCGACGTAGAAACCCGAGCGGCCTCCAAACTGCTCGTTGAGCAGGCCCGCCAGCGGGACGCCGACTAGCACGGGCACGGACTGGCACCACTGGACGAAACTCCAGCACTTGGCGAAGTTGCGCGCCCGTACTTTCTCGAGCGTGTACATCTTGAGCGAGTACTGGTAGCCGCCCAGGAAGATGCCGTATATCCAGACGAACAGTAGGTAGCCGTGGTACTGGTGCAGCGCCGTGAAGGCGAGAAGCGAGGCGCTGATCATGAACGCAGCCGCCTGGCACAAGTACTGGCGCGCGATGAGACATTGCACGCTGTTCTTGATGACGATGAGGCCGAAGGCAGCGCTGCCGAGTGCACTGGCGATGCCCAAGAAGGCCTGAAGAAGCAGCAGAGATGAACGTTCGAGGCCTTCTTGCTCCCCAAGATGCATCTGGAAAAAATAAGAGACAATTTAAGTTAAGGTTCGCGTATACATCACTGTTGGGAACAGCAGAAAGTAATGAACTTTCTATGGTCATTAGAGGCCAAACAAGAATTAAGGCAACGCATGTAACAATTTCGTTAGTTTATCTAGGTGCTAATAATGCCATTATTGGTTGTTGTTGTTTTTTTGACGGCATACACACAGCTGTCATTTAGACATAGTGGAGAAAGAAGCATGACACCAGGATTTGACCTATTGTTTTTAATGAGGCGTGAAACCCTAAAGTGGTGAGACACAGATATGAATATAACAAGGTTTCTCCGAATCAGCCTGTTACGCTCACCGTCAAGCATCCTTCAGAATGTCCATCAAGCAAATCTACCGTCTTTTCACCGACAAGTTTATATGACTATACGGGAAATCTGCGATATAAATTTGGGTCTACCTTCTTCACGTGGTTGCTTTGAAAATTGTGGACACCGAGAACACTCACTAAAAGCACGAGGGGCGTGGTGACACCGAAAGCCGCTAGTGCAGTGCCCACAACGAGGATCTGGACAGTGCGGGAGCGAAGCACTGCGTAGTCGATAAAAGGAGGCCTTTCGGAGGCCTGCGAGCCTCGGTCCTTGGCCTTGGATCGTCGCTGCATGCTCTTGAGGTGCAGGATGGCGCGCCGCTGCGGGTGGTACAGGGACGCCGGTCGGTAGAACACGCCTAGCACAAACAGCACCAGCACGATGCCCGTAAGCGCCTGTAGACCCAGCCTCCAGCCTACCACCCTGAAACAACGAACACGAGAGCAGACAAATTTGGGAAATCGTCTCTCCATGCGTGGTTCACACCACACAACGCAATTAATAAACAGTCACAGGTTCCTTTACACACCCGACTAAGAAGACTTCAAGGAGAAATCCATGTCCTTCTTTATCTAAGTCCATGTATTGACCCCCCCCCCCCCCTTCCTCTTTTTGAAAACTTTCTGCACCTGGCACGGTTTCGCATTGCCACCAAGATCGAAAACATTGCACCTCACCTGGTATAGCACTGCCTCTGTGATTAGCCCACCTTTGGAGAAGGCACGGTGCCTTGTGATGACGCCATCATGTGACGTTCCGTAATGTGATGTTATGCCAGCAAAGTGACGTCATGATTACGTCCCCAATTTCGGTGATTTTTGATCTCATCACGTGATTATCATCTTTTACGTATCACTGTTGACACCGATGGTGAATTTTCTTATTTGCTCAACATTGAAGGCTTTCGCCTTAAAAATATCTGCGCTGAATGTTACGCTATTAAATCTTTCTGGTTTGTTATACCCGAATTACTAGAAGTTCCCATTGTGGCCACGCTGAGGTTAGCATCCGAGACAGGCGCAGGCCGCAGAAGAGGCAGAGTGGGGTACCATATTGCAAGCTCCCGCACACTGGCGCAAGCTGAACGCTACTTTATATCGGCGTTACCAGCGAAGCAAAACATGGTTTTTTTGCTCGGGCGCTATTGGGACGGTGTTGCGTGATGCACGAACTACCACATAGCCTTGGTTCTAGAAACTCTGCTTGTGCGAAGTGCTTGTCCAACACGCGTTATCTACACTTACTTTTAGCCACTTCATTGACCGCTTCTCTACGCACCGCAGCTGTGAACTCTGCCTGAATGTCTCGGGACGAGCCATGCATCGTTTTGTGTGGATAGCTTAGGCCTATTTCCAGTGGACTGCATCTTTGGGCAATGCTCTGCTGAGGCACGCTTTGGCTCTCCGTTCCAGTTCACCGCATTTATCACCCTCCTCCGCCCACTGCTGACGATAATCTGGACTGGTACTAGCACCGGGCATCGTCCAACAGCCCATCCCTATATATGCCGTCGGCGAGAAAGAGTGCCGCCCGAGTGGCATTCTGGAGGTCATTTGTCGTTCGGAACAATTAACTTAAGGAGTGGCAAGTTGAGGAAAAAAAAGATGCCACCGAAGGAACCACGTAGGAGAGCGAACGGCTTTGAAGATAGCAATCTGATCAAAGTGCTGATCTTACGCACTCAGCAATTCTCTCGCGCGTACTCGGGGCGTTTCCGCCCTGCAGTACATCGACACAACTGAGGCGATCTTATCAAATTGACCCGGCTCTTTGCTTGTGTCGGCGAACCGATGGCGCGTGAGGCACGCGCGAGATAAATTGTGGAAGAGTAGCGGCCATACACGGCTTGCGCTTCCGAGAGGCGATTACATGCCTATATTTTGTCTCTCCATTCAGTTGTACGCCACCTAGATCAGCCGAATGCCATGTTTATACTTTCTAGTTGTCAGGCAAGCGGGTTTCTGGAGAGAGGAAGACAGTAGATGTTTTTTTAACAGTTGCGTAATGGCTTTCCTATTCCGAATGAAACATTGCCACTTTACATCCGTGGCATTTGGAATAGAGCTGACGCCCCATCAAGAAAAAAATCTCAGTCTGAGAGTGAGATGTGGTTGTTGACTCGCTACCGTCACGCTACTGCTGAACTCTGGGACAATGACAGCGAAAAAAATATATATGCAGTATATACTACAAAACTGTCCTTGATGTGCACGATTGCGTTATGACGAGATTACGCATTGAATTTATTTAAGTTTTTTTCGCTCGTGTGTTTGCGCCATTCGTCAAAAGAGAGGCGTACAAAAATGCTCTTGTTGAGAAGCTGCAGTTTAAGAGGTCAAAGAACACTACAACGCAGGCGTGGTGTGCCTTACTTCACAATGTACTGTATTGTTTAAGTACCTGACATCGCCTTCAGCGCAGCTTTGGACACTTGTTGGGCGCCTGTACAAGATATGCGTATACTGGATACGTGTGTGGAACAAATAGCTTGACAGTGAGATTCCTAGGCGTTCTGCTTCTCATATCATTCAACGCTTCCGAAGCAACCTAAGGGCGCCATAAACACAATAATTCTGCGTATAGATCCCAGTGGTATATTATGCGCCCAGGTAGGCGCGGATACGTACGAACGTTTTAGCTACAGAATATACAAACAATACTTATTGCTGGCCTAGTTGTTACTTGCTTAATGACATACTTTGGCCGCAAGTAACACACACACAAAGTAAAGAAACACCCAACGACAAGCACAAGGAGAAGTCGCATGTGCTTGTCATTGAGTGTTTCTTTACTTTGTGTGTGTTGTTTGCGGCCAAAGTGTCATTAAGAATATACAAAGCTACAGAACATACGTGGGGTGCATGGCATTTCGAAATCATGCACATTACCCCACTCCCACGTGAATCGTTAGCAGTCCGAATGTTTGCACGTCCGCGCTAACAATATCCTCGTGGCAGTGCGTATACGCTATGCCACTAATAGAAGTGTGCGTATGACCCGTTATTTGATGATCGTTGACCGGGATCTCCTAGGATGACCCCATAATGACTTCACAACTCAACGCACGATGTTATCGCCCTTTCCACAGTGCCTCGAAGATCCTACACGTTAAAACGATTGCTGAACGAGTAATTTCGGCACCTGCCAGGAGTGATGAATGTTGTCGGCGCTGTTGCGAAAGCAGAATATTGGTGGCACGCCCAGGCTGTAGCTATTTCCGTAGCGTTTGCCAATTTGACACGGTACATACCTACTGCTTTCATGTATTTGCCTTTCCGTGTACAGCCCGGGCTAATGAGTGTGGCGCAAGAGAACTCACTGAATGTCTAAGTCGTTGCAATGTGTATAGGAGTAGCCTAATGCACGCCAATAAAATAAGCGTGAAATCGCTATCGTACGACGCTGTAATTGGCTGGGAGGTGACATGAAGGATGAACTCCTCAAAGCGTTGGGAAACCAACAAGGAATGAGAAAAGCATGTGATGCACGGCGAATTCACAGAGTTCACCATGACTCACCTGTACCGAGTCTATCGCAATGAACAGCTTTCCGTATCGGTTCGCCTTATGTAAAGCATTTATAAGTTGCCGTTTGAACAATTGCAGCCGATAACAGTTCATCCTCATTATCCGTAGTTAGTGTTAAAAATATGGGGGACCCTTAAGCTCTGCCTTTGAACGCGATAGCGAAATCCGGCCCCTAGTGCACCCTTCAACGGCTAAGTGCATACTTATTCATATGTTTTGTTACATACACTCGCACGCACACAAACACGCACACAGTAGATTGGATCAGCGCAAGCTATTATCGCCAAATGGGCTCGTTTTTGTCGTGACACCTGTCGAACAAAATGCGCTGAAGGGGCCCTGAAACACTTTTTCAAGTAACCATGAAATGAATTCACTAGAAGAGCTCATTGCCTCATGAGTTTAACGCCGCAAAAGCTTTAAGAATCCGTCTAGTGCGAGTGGAGTTACAAAGGTTTGTCGCATGCTGCAATTGCATTCTCTCTTTTCTCCTCCCGACGAAAGCGCTGGAAGCTAAGCAGGGAGGGGTGGTAGAGCAAATAAACTACCGCCCCTCGTGACCTTGAGCACTTTTTTTTTCGAATGCCTGGCTTTTTCAGTGTGATCGCGCGCGCACGCGTGGAGAGTAGCGGCCTCCCGCGGCTATCTCGGTAACTTGATTTTTCGGTCACAGACGCACAGACGATTTTTCGCTCACAACCAACAGGGGTGACGCCAGCGACGGGTTTTCTGCGACACGAGCTCCTTAACGCTATCGCGTTAAAAGTGAATATAATCCTTACGTTGTATTTTTCTTAGCGTATTCTGTCGTAGGGTTCATTGCATTGACGCCCCGCCGCGGTGGTCTAGTGGCTAAGGCATACTCGGCTGCTGACCCGCAGGTTGCGGGATCGAATCGTGGCTGCGGCGGCTGCATTTTTGATGGAGGTGAAAATGCTGTGGGCCCGTGTGCTCAGATTTGGGTGCACGTTAAAGAACGCCAGGTGGTCGAAGTTTCCGAAGCCCTCCACTACGGCGTCTCTCATAACCATATAGTGGTTTTGGGACGTTGAACCCCATGCATCAATCAATCATTCATTGCATTGACACCGCTTAACGGTCTGTATTTATGCAATAGCTGGAGTTACAGTGGTGGACCGTTGTCCTCCCTCAGTGGCTCACGTGATCTCCGCGTGCACAGATGACCACAGGGCATGTAACGGTCACGTAATCACTTTGCCCTTCCGAATTAAACAGGCTGAAGCGATGCCTCATCAAGAACATATCTGATCGATAACGCCTGAGAGTCAAATGTTGTTGTCGATTCACTACTGTCACACTACAATTGAACTCTGAGGCAACAACGACGTAAATCAACAGCATTATTTTGCTACACAAAGAATTGTGTAGGCCCTAGCAGACGCCGCCATCAAGACCTGTGACGTACCGGGTGCCTAGTTTGTGCAAGAACAGTTAGGCATTGTCAACACATGCGCGTGCATGTGTGTGCGTGCCTGTGCGTGATTGTGTATTTGCGTGTCCGGTGCGTGTGTGTGTGTGTGCGTGTCCCGTGCGTGATCGTGTATGTGCGTGTCCGGTGCGTGTGTGTGTGTGTGCGTGTCCGGTGCGTGCGTGTGCGTGTCTGGTGTGTGTGTGTGTGTGTGTGTTTGTGTGTGTGTGTTTGTGTGTGTGCGTGTCCGGTGCGTGCGTGTCCGGTGCGTGTGTGTGTGTGTGTGTGCGCGTGCGTGTCCGGTGCGTGTGCGTGTGTTCGTGTCCGGTGGGTGCGTGTGCGTGATCGCGTATATGCGTGTCCGGTGTGTGTGTGTGTGTGTGTGCGTGTCTGGTGCGTGTGTGTGTGTGTGTGCGTGTCCGGTGCGTGCGTGTGCGTGATTGTGTATGTGCGTGTCCGGTGCGTGCGTGTGCGTGATTGTGTATGTGCGTGTCCGTTGCGTGTGTGTGTGTGGGCGCGTGCGTGTCCGGTGCGTGTGCGTGTGTTCGTGTCCGGTGGGTGCGTGTGCGTGATCGCGTATATGCGTGTCCAGTGTGTGTGTGTGTGTGTGCGTGTCTGGTGCGTGTGTGTGTGTGTGTGCGTGTCCGGTGCGTGCGTGTGCGTGATTGTGTATGTGCGTGTCCGGTGCGTGCGTGTGCGTGATCGTGTATGTGCGTGTCCGGTGCGTGTGTGTGTGTGCGTGTCCGGTGCGTGTGTGTGTGTGTATGCGCGTGTCCGGTGCGTGCGTGTGCGTGATCATGTATGTGCGTGTCCGTTGCGTGTGTTTATGTGTGGGTGCGTGCGTGTCCAGTGCGTGCGTGTACGTGATCGTGTATGTGCGTGTCCGGTGCGTGTGTGTGTGTGTGTGCGTGTCCGGTGCGGGCGTGTGCGTGATCGTGTATGTGCGTGTCCGGTCCGTGTGTGTGTGTGTGCGTGTCCGGTGCGTGCGTGTGCGTGATCGTGTATTTGCGTGTCTGGTGTGTGTGTGTGTGTGTGTCCGGTGCGTGTGTGTGTGTGTGTGTGCGTGACCGGTGCGTGCGTGTGCGTGATCGTGTATTTGCGTGACCGTTGCGTGTGTGTGTGCGTGTCCGGTGCGTGCGTATGCGTGATCGTGTATGTGCGTGTCCAGTGTGTCTGTGTGTGTGCGTGTCCGGTGCGTGCGTGTGCGTGATCGTGTATGTGCATGTCCGGTGCGTGTGTGTGTGCGTGTGTGTGCGTGTCCGGTGTGTGCGTGATCGTGTATGTGCGTGTGCGGTGCGTGTGTGTGTGTCTGTGCGTGCGTGTCCGGTGCGTGTGTGTGTGTGTGTGCGTGTCCGGTGCGTGCGTGTGCGTGATCGTGTATGTGCGTGTCCGCTGCGTGTGTGTGTGTGCGTGTCCGGTGCGTGTGTGTGTGCGTGCGTGTCCGGTGCGTACGTGTGCGTGATCGTGTATGTGCGTGTCCGGTGCGTGTGTGTATGTGTGCGTGTTTGTGTGCATGCGTGTCTGGTGCGTGCGTGTGCGTGATCGTGTATGTACGTGTCCGGTGTGTGTGTGTGTGTGTGTTGTTGCAATGTCCGGTGTGTGCGTGTGCGGGATCGTGTATGTGCGTGTCCGGTGCATGCGTGTGCGTGATCGTGTATGTGCGTTGTCCATGTGTGTGTGGTGTGTGTGTGTGTGCGTGTCCGGTGTGTGCGTGTGCCTGATCGTGTATGTGCGTGCGTGTGCGTGCGTATGCGTGATCGTGTATGTGCGTGTCCAGTGTGTCTGTGTGTGTGCGTGTCCGGTGCGTGCGTGTGCGTGATCGTGTATGTGCGTGTCCGTTGCGTGTGTTTATGTGTGTGTGTGCGTGCGTGTCCAGTGCGTGCGTGTACGTGATCGTGTATGTGCGTGTCCAGTGCGTGTGGTGTGTATGTGCGTGTCCGGTGCGTGCATGTGCGTGATCGGGTATGTGGCTGTCCGGTGGATGTCGTGGGTGTGTGTGTAGTGCGTGTCCGGTGCGTACGTGTGCGTGATCGTGTATGTGCGTGTCCGGTGCGTGTGTGTGTGTGTGTCTGCGTGTCTGGTGCGTGCGTGTGCGTGATCGTGTATGTGCGTGTCCGGTGTGTGTGTGTGTAGTGCGTGTCCGGTGCGTGCGTGTGCGTGATCGTGTATGTGCGTGTGCGGTGTGTGTGTGTGTGTAGTGTGCGTGTCCGGTGCGTGCGTGTGCTGTGATCGTGTATGTGTGTGTCCGGTGTGTGTGTGTGCGTGACCGTTGCATATGTGTGCGTGTCCGGTGCGTGCGTATGCGTGATCGTGTATGTGCGTGTCCAGTGTGTCTTGTGTGTGTGCGTGTCCGTGCGTGCGTGTGCGTGATCGTGTATGGTGCGTGTCCGGTGCGTGTGTGTGTGCGTGTGTGTGCATGTCCGGTGTGTGCGTGATCGTGTATGTGCGTGTCCAGTGCGTGTGTGTATGTGCGTGTCCGGTGCGTGCGTGTGCGTGATCGTGTATTTGTTTGTGTGTGTGTGTGTGTGTGTGTGTGTGTGCGTGTCCGGTGCGTGCGTGAGCGTGATCGTGTATGTGCGTGTCCGGTGCGTGTGTGTGTGTGTGCGTGTCCGGTGCGTGCGTGTGCGTGATCGTGTATTTGCGTGTCCGTTGCGTGTGTGTGTGCGTGTCCGGTGCGTGCGTATGCGTTATCGTGTATGTGCGTGTCCAGTGTGTCTGTGTGTGTGCGTGTCCGGTGCGTGCGTGTGCGTGATCGTGTATGTGCCTGTCCGGTGCGTGTGTGTGTGCGTGTCCGGTGTGTGCGTGATCGTGTATGTGCGTGTCCAGTGCATGTGTATGTATGTGCGTGTCCGGTGCGTGCGTGTGCGTGATCGTGTATGTGCGTGTCCGGTGCGTGTGTGTGTGTGCGTGCGTGTCCGGTGCGTACGTGTGCGTGATCTTGTATTTGCGTGTCCAGTGTGTGTGTGTGTGTGTGTGTGTGTGCGTGTCCGGTGTGTGCGTGTGCCTGATCGTGTATGTGCGTGTCCGGTGTGTGTGTGTGTGTGTGAGCGTGTGAGCACGCGGGTGTGTTTCTTACAGCTTTCTCGCCCAGCGAACGTGTTCGCAGGCAACAGAAGTAGTTTTGATACATTAAACATAGCGCTGTCATTCGGCTAACCTACCGGGCCGGCTTTGTCTTTTTCAAGTAATACTAGAGAATTTATCTTTCCCTTGGCGTCCCCTTATGCATCGAGCTTTTCACAGTATTCAATTGAACGGAGCAGTTGTACTGTGATAGTTCAAACCCAATGGTAACATAAATACTACATATGTTTGCCTAGCCTCCTGGATTCCAGCCTTTTATGAATATTTGGCTTTGATATTGTTGTCGTGTGGCTTTTGTTTCAAATAACAAAAATAGCTTGTCGTCAACCTCCTGAGCCAATTTAAATTGGTGGGACTAAAAGGGCCATGCAGGTGAAGCGGGATGGCTGAACGTTTTTTTTTTCCATTAAAATAATTACCGGTTTTAGAAGTCAAAAAGCTCCACGGAGCCGGAGGAACGAAGCAGCAACACCTATTGTTGCATAAATGATTCTTTATTCTAAATTAAGGTCAGATGAAAGTGCTGAAGTGGTCCTATTGCATGCGTTTCTTTCGTCCTCGCCATTTATGCTTTTGAGTGTTCTGTGAAGAACCAAGCATAGGTTAATCCAGTAAGACGGTAAGTTGGGCCAGTTGGTTAGTATCCATCGTGAACTTATTTACAGAGCAACGCCAGAAAAAACACAGAGCAGGGAAAGAGCAAAAGAGGGAAGGAGCAGCGCCGTCTTTTCTTTCTCTTTTGCTCCTTCCCTGTCCTGTGTTTTTTTTCTGGTGTTGCGCTGTAAATAAGTTCACGATAGGTTAATGCACGTGCTACCCATCGTTCCCTTGCTGAATGCGTGCGAGCGCATGAGTTGCCAACTCTTTCCTTCTTTCTTTCACTTATTTCCCGCTTTTCCTTACTCATTGTTGTGTTGCAACTGGGGTACAATGTAGTTAAGCTTTCTGCCTTTCATTTGCCTTCTCCTGTCTGTCTCTCTTAGAGAGCCTAGTGAGAATATGGTGCTCGTTTGCAGACCGCTCACCGTATGCACTCTACGATGAAAATGGGCACGACGGCGACGCCGATCCCCGTGCCGGCCGCCAGGAGGAGCTCGACGAGCTCGCGCCGCTTCTTGAAGTACTGTCCCACCATGAACATGGACGTGTCCCGTGTCATGGCGACGCCGCAGCCGAGCACGAGCCCGTAGCTGATGAACAGCTGGTGGAACTGCGAGGCGAACGATGAGAAGAGGCAGCCCAGCGCGGCCACCAGTCCACCGAGAACGGCTACCAGCCGGGTGCTCTTGCGCCGGCAAGCGCCCACCACGGCGGGGGAGAGGAACAACGCCACGGCGGTGGAGACGGCTCCCAAGCACACTGCGCACGGTAAATCAATCAATCAATCAATCAATCAATCAATCAATCAATCAAACAAACAAACAAGAGAGCCAACATTTCGACAAGTGATCCCGTCTTCTTTAAGGCAGCATCAATCAATCAATCAATCAATCATGAAAACTCCTTGAACATCGGGTGTCACTCGAGCCAACGTTTTGGCAAGTGGTCTCACACTGTTCAATACAGCAACAGTTGCGGCCTTGAATATGGCAAGACGACTTGTCCAAACATTCGCTGTATAGTGACACCCGTTTTCAGGGACATTTAATCTATTCAAGGATCCGGCTTCCTCTGGGCCCTCGCCTTAATCTGTTTTTTAAACAATAAATAAATAGTTATTTATTTAATGATCGAAAAAAGAATCGCCAATACACTTAAAGAAGCACAGCCTACACAAGGCTGTACGAGAACCTCCTGTCGGAATGTTACATAAACAACGGCTCTAGAACACGACAGCAGAGTGTTTCAACAAGGGTGATGGCGAAACAGGCAAGAAAAAATTCTGATATAATGGCACTCTTGCTTTTGTCCTTGAACATAGCTGTCCACAAAACCCAATATATCAAAAAAAGCTCTTTTCTCTGATATTATACTCCCCTTAGCCCCTTCCCCAGCACAGGGTAGCCAGCTGGTCTAAGCACTGGCTAAGCACCATGTCCTTGGGCTTGTTCCTTCCTTCCTCCGTCTTCAGTTTCAAGGTATGAGGTGCTATATTAGATACTAAGAAAGGTAAAGAAGACAACCACCCGTTTCTGGCACGAAGCCATAAGGAAATCTGTACGGATTTTCTTTTGGAAACTCCCCGGACCAGGACGAATTTTTCAGCAACTGAGAGGCTTTTCTTTCAGAGGAATCCGTACTGATTGCCTTTTCTTTTCGTGCTCCAAATGAGTGGTTGTCTGCTTTCCTTTTCTCAACCCTTCCGCCACCATTCGGGTTTCCGCAGAAATTAATTGCTATATTAAGTACTGTATATTTATCATATGCTATCAACAGTCAGTCACATATGAATAGATAATGGCACGTATGAGGCGGGAGAAAGAATTCTACGCCGACTTCAGATATGACGTTGATATACCAGGCCATATTACGATACTCCGACCACGTGGTCCCAGGTAGGTGCAGGCACGGTAGGGAGACTGCCGATGTATACCAAGTTGTATGGGGCAGGTGCCAGCTGAACACAGCCATTCCTGTTCTTCCGCCCCTACGCGACAGAACTGGAAGGCGACGTTCCTTTTGTTGCTTCGACTTGGGGGCCTCACAAGCCGTCCTTGCGAGGGGCAAAAACAGCCGTATCCTCCTATGACGCCCCCAAGTAAGGTGCTCACCCAGTCTTTAGGGCCCCGTCGAAGGTTCACACACTCTCTTTCCTTCTTTTTGATAAAGTTTTTTTCACCACCACCACCCCGTCTAAAAAGTCGCGTAGAAAATGACGTATAAAAAGGCCGGTTTGATATCTTTGAACTTAGGAACGAGGCTTCTTGATTGATATGTGCGGTTTAACGTCCCAAAACCACCATATGATTATGAGAGACGCCGTAGTGGAGGGCTCCGGAAATTTCGACCACCTGGGGTTCTTTAACGTGCACACAAATCTGAGCACACGGGCCTACAACATTTCCGCCTCCATCGGAAATGCAGCCGCCGCAGCCGGGACTCAAACCCGCGACCTGCGGGTCAGCAGCCGAGTACCTTAGCCACTAGACCACCGCGGCGGGGCGAATGAGGCTTCTTAACACTCGCTTTAGTGGACAGATTTTATTCTCATTGCAACCGCAGAGCTTTAAAAAAATGTTGCCATTATTTCTATGCGATGATTGGCATGTATTGTCGCATCTATACGACAAAGTTCCAATGAGTTCAACAGTCAGAGCAGCCATCTTCCCCCAGGCCATCAGACACCGTACTTTCAATGCACCGCAAACTGTCCTCAGTACATCGCCTATTGTACGTGGCGGCATTTCACTATATGTATTTGCTGTTCCAGCTTAACTTGACAGCGGTGCTTGGCTGACCGCAGAGCTCATACCGCTGCATGTTGTAAACCTATGGTGTGCGGAATACTGAATGTGGCAACGAACTTCAAATTAGCGACCCGCCGGAAATTCACACTCTGCAGGTTATTATTCACACACCCAAAAATGCAAACCAGGACATGTGCTTTCTGAGTCGCGGTGTGCCTTGTGTCGGCACAGGGCGTATATTAACGCCGGCGACTTCGTAGCAGGCTTAGTACGCTAGTGAAACAATCTGATACTGTACAAAGTCCGTGTCCCGTACAAGGTTTGCGTGAAACATGGCTACGCTTACGCATGTACCACAAACCCTTTCAGATTTTGGACCAGCGTTGACACGACGCAAATGCATTTACCTCCATTGCTGATGAACGGGTGCTTTCTCTGCAACCCGATGTTCTACGTTTTTGTGCTCTGATCATTACGGGACGCTTTGCGTTTAGAATTAACACACACCGACAACAAACACTTGCATGTTTTCCTCTCGTGCGCATTGGTTACAGATAACTTTATGAGGGAGATGCGCACTTTGCGAACACGAAACATGCCTTGGTTCAAACCGAAGTAAAGCTCTTTTCGAGAACCGTGCAACGATTTCTTACTGGTTTAAAATCTTCGAGACACGTCATTGTCTCATAAAGGAGCAACGCCATTTGATCGGGTTCAACGATTACTCTTAAGGTTAGTTGGAGGTCCGGCTAGAGAAGATGTCTTTGCCGGTTACCATGTGCGAATACGGTTGGCGGAAATTGCCCACATTTATTACGTCATTGGGCTACACTATGCCGGGTCATATAGTCATGTGGCTTATTAATAAATTGTTTTAATTAGGGTGTACGTGAATTTCTTTAAACATTTGCTATAAGTAATACTTTTTATCAACCTGCATTGAACAAAATTCACTTAGAGCGGGCTACCTATAAATTAGTGGCATACGGTATCGAAATAAGCCTGACTCTATATGATGCAATCGGCCACATGACAGGATCTATTCGAGAGACCTGAAAAATACTTATGCACAAATTGATCATCCACTCACTCACTCACTCACTCACTCACTCAATCAGACAATCAATCAATCAATCAATCAATATCAAATGGACTAATTTGTTAAGTCGCTTGCAGTAACTCAGTCCTCATCTTTACGTTATCCCTCTATTGAGGCTGACGCGTTTTCGAAACTCTTAGCCTGGATACGTAAACAAATAAAAGGAAACGTTCAGGAAACGTAGATTGATTCGCTTTGAAAGGGCTGCCTTGAAGGGGCCCAGAAACACTTTTTTCAATAACCATGAAATTAATTCACCGGAATAGCGTATTGGCTAAAAAAATCAACGCCACAAAAATTTTAAGAATCTGTCCAGTACGAGCGGAGTTACAAAAATTTGTCACACGCTGCAATCGCATTTTGTTTTCTCTCGTCCCGACGAAAGCGCTGGAGGCTAAGCAGGGAGGGACGGGAGGGACAAACAAAAAATGTCACGTACGCCTCCTGACCTTGAGCACTTCTTCCTTTTTTTTTCTTCGAATGCGCGGGTTTTTCAGTGTGATCGCGTGCGCACGCGTGGACAAGTAGTGGCCTCCCGCGGCAATCTCTGTACCGACCTAGCGCACCATGTTCAAATCAGCCAATGGCTGACAGATGGGCTTAATACAAGTGATTTTTTGGGCTTATTTTGTGATTTGTCGAGAGAAAAGAAAGCAATTTATAGCTGACGTTGATAATTATATTGAATTCCAGGCCGCGTGCTGCACTATAATATTTGGCTCGCGTGTTGTCGGCAGTCTCTACTACCGATCGGCAGCGTTTTCTGACCATGCTCAAGAAGTGTTGCAGGGCCCCTTTAAACTAAGACGTAACGACGACTGAGCTTCTTGTCTGAACATTTCAGTGTCGTCTTTGAAAGAAAAAAAAATATATGAGGCGATACGGCTACGGTGATTAAGTATACAGGTTCCTTAGCCAAGGGCGCTGAATAGTGCGTGTTCAGTGATCTCTAAAGAGGCTGTTACATTCATTTCAAGAGCTGTAACTTAGTTACATGTTCTTCCATGCAACCCGCCTTTCTTCTTTTTTTTTATCCGGAAACTCTGTGCCGAATTCACCGAGAAGCAATTTCGGAAGTGACTGCCGACACTTCCGATCCTACGCTGTGTGACACACATTTTTTTTTTCACCTCGTGACATTAATAGGGCGGAAGTAGCACAAAATAATCTCTTCGTATAGCTCAATCCACATCTTTGTTTTTCCTTCTCTTTTGTACTTCTTTTTGCCAACGGGCACTATAGAGACCGCGCCTGAGCCAGGAAGGGCCAGCTAAATATAACAACCCCTCCGTTCTCCTTCCAATGACGAATGCCCGCGCACGTCTCGTAAATACGGTCCTATACACGACTGGATTGCTGCGGCAGAGTTGTTACAGCGATTCGCTGCGGGGCTCTGCGATGCTTTTTTTTCGTTTTCTTTTTTCCCTTTCGCTTTCTGCAACGGAAGCTCCTGCGCTCTGAGTCGCTCTGCAGTTCGTTAATCCAATCGCAGCAATCATTTCTTCCACACTCTTTTTTTTTTCTGCAGCGTGGCTGCGCTAAACACCCTTCTTTTGGTCCTTCCCGTCTTCGTTTTTTTCTTTCCTTTCGACGCTGACGTCAGCTCGATGTCTCCGACGTCACCTCTCTCCATACTTTTCGCTTCTGTCTTACTGTGACCCAGTCTGGCACGGTCGGTGAGAGCGCATCAATACCGAAAAAGGCAACGTGATTTCTTTCGATAGCTCCTGAAGAAATAAGGTGAAAAAATGAAATGATCGAGACTAAAACTAACTCTTCATTCTTCGAAAATTATTGCTTTCCGTGCACCACCTCTACGTGACTCCATTTTTTCTCTATTTCTCTCTTTTTTCTCGTTTGCCATGTCGTGCATCTATTTGGCCGGATTTACATGATCTTATTTCTTCGGGACT